CAGCCTTCTGGTGAGCAGTCAAGTGACTTAGGCACTATGCTACCAGAGCTCCTTCACACTGCAGAGACATATCTAATAGTTCAGCCTTTCTACCTGTCTATCCACCTGTATACCCATGTTTGCCTTCACTGACAATGCAGTAGTGTATATGCAAAAGGGTTCATCTTTGTTGTCTGCACCTCCCATGTACCTCTCTCTGTCTTCCTCTTCCTCAATGCCACCGTTGTTGATCACTGACATTTGGTACATTGCCTGAAGGCTGTAAATCTTAATGGAAGTTGACTGCCTCATCTTTCTCCTGCAGAGCAGCTGGTGAGTGCAAACTACCTACCTGTTGGTTAACAGCTGAGTGCTTTAACCACTGCCCCTAAAGCTCCTGTCAGTTAAGACAGGGAATCATAAAAATCAAGAGTACCTTAAATGCTTTACTTTAACTTAGAATACAAGTTATGTTTATATACTGGTCTTTGGATTTAGGGCCAAAGACCTTGGAGAACTGCTGATTGCAGTTACACATAGCCCATGTTTCTTGCCTAGCCCTCAGTGAAATGGGACTGTAAAATACGAGGGAAGCATGTAGTTTGCAGAATGTGTCATTTTCCTCCATCTTTTACCTTGTTAATGTAACAGTTAATTACAATGATAAATATTTGGTGATGACGTGTTTGGGAATAAACCCAACTGATTTTGGTAAGCATATGGCTCCGCACATGGGACAGAAATGTGTGGACACATGAGAGAGCAGGTCGGTAACCTTGAGAGTTGATGGAGTGGTGGTTAACAGAGGTTTTGTTAGACATTGTTTCGAAGCCCTGGGATGATGGTGCCAGTGTTGCTCTGATGCCTTTGCTCCAAAGCCCTAGGTTCAAAACTTGGAGAAATGATTCCTCCTGTGCCTTATTTCAGTATCTCAACCTTAGCACTGTTGGTACTTCAGGCTGGATCATTCTGGGTGGGGGGGGGGGGCTGTCACGTGCATCGTAGGAAGTTTCACAGCATCCTTAGCCTCCACTAAATGCCAGTTGGCGTACCCCCTCCCCACATAGTCATGGCCGTCATTTATGGCAGTCTCCAGGCTTTGCCAGATGCCTCCTAGGAGGCAGAGTAGTTCTTGAGAGCCACTGCCAGATTCTCATAAGTGATTGAGTTAGAAAATGACAACTGAAATGTTTGAGTGAGTATATGACTTGAACCTTGGATGAGGAATGAAAGTGATTGTAGCACATCCGCTGGCATTTCCATCTGAGCCATATTACCAAGTAGTAGGTACTGTTGGCCTGACAATTAAGATGTTGGATTCTCAAGAGGCCCTGAGCATTAAAAATCAACCGAGGTGAATTCCAGCAGATCTGACAGCCACTGGTTTGGGGGAGTGACTGCTTCTGTCCACTTCCTGTTACTGACCCATAGACAAGAAAATTCATTGGTCCTCAGCCCACACGGCTGTGACATGGTATAGGTGGCTGATTTGGTTTGGTAATACCCTCTCAAAACCTATCTCCAAGTGCCTGGATGACTTGTTATCTATTACAAGACGTAATGTTCTGGCTCATTAATGCGTGGTTTGGAATGTGGCTATAAATATGTTATATAAATCATTTCTGCCAAGTTTATAATAAAAGGATGGCTGACTTGTAAAAGGTTTAAAAATCTTTCATAAAGATTTTCGAATATATACAGAATTTAAAAGAGCAGTATAAGGAAGTGCTCTGTCCGCATCCCCAGCAATAACAATGATCAGCTCAGTGGACAGTCATGTTCGCCTGCCCCCCCCCAACCACTGATGCACTTAGCCATTTAGTGCCCCCAACTCTTAAACATGAGCAGGCAGCACCCGAGGAAAGACCCTCTGCAAAAGACGGAAACCAAAGGGGAAAGAAAAGCAGCTTTGGGAAAACTGAGACTACAAGAAAGGAGGAGGCATCCCTGTCTCTTCGCAAAAGTTGGTATCCTCAGAAATAAGAGAAAATCTTGCAGTCACAGTAAATAAAACCGTGATTTTTTTAAAAGCCAGAAAACAACAAATAAATCCTTGCCAGAGAATAGGAAGCAGCTTTTAAAAATGAAAATGTGATCACAGAAATCATAATGTAAACAAGCACCAAGGAAGAATTTGGGAGATCAAGTGACAAAGAAAGTAGACTTTCTTTACTTCAGAAAGTAGACAAAGATGCAGAAAGAGGAAAGAAAAAAATAAGGAGCTTTAAAGACTCAGTTTAACACTTACAACTGCCAACTAATAGGTGTCCCAGCAAGGGCAGCAAATGGAGAAGAAATCATGGAAGAAATAATTCAAGAGAATTTCTCAGGACTGAAGGATGAAAGTTTCCAGATAGAAAGTACTTTACTAAGTGCTCAACACAGTAGATGAAAATAGACCCACCACAGGACAAGTTATGGTTTCCTTTCTGAACCCTGGGGTTAAAGTAAAGACCCTGAAAGTTTCCAGAGAGAAAAAAAGATAGGTGGCACGGTGCCTAAGGCATTTGACTGCTAACCAGAAGGTTGGTGGTTCAAACCCACCAGCTGCTCCATGGAAGGCAGATGGGGCGATCTATTTCTGTAAAGATTTACTGCCTTGGAAACCCAAAGAGGGTTGGTCACTATGAGTCAGAATCAACTTGATAGCAGTGAGTTTGGTGGGTTTTTTTTTTTTTTCTTTTCTTTTTTTAATAAAGAATCGGGGATTAGAATGTGTTTAGACTTACTGATAACTAGATAGCATTTGAGCAGTACTTTTAACACTCTGAAGGAAGAAGATTCTCAACCCAGAAAGCAGAAATTTTGAGACCTACCAGTTTTAAGAAATTTAGCTCCCGTTTACTTTTCCTCAAGAAGCTCCCAGAGGATGCCTATCAGCAAAACAAGGAAGTGTACCAAGAAGGAGGGTTCAGAAGATGGAAGATCTCTGCAGGAGAGGGGTGAAGGGACTCCCTGGGTGGCAGCGTAACCAGGCAGAAAGATAAGCCAGGTCAGACAGCTCTGGGAGAGACATCACAGGACAATGAAATGGATGTTGTTCAGAGGCCTCTGAGATCCTGAAGGGTTTCTAGATCCTTGGAAGTGTTTAGGATGGAATCCGGGTTCCCTCCTTGGTGCAATAGTTCATGCTCTTGGCTGCTAACCCCAGGTTGGTGGTTTGAGTCCTCCCAGAAGTGCCTGGGAAGAAATACTTGGCAGTCGTCTTCTGAAAAATCAGTCATTGAAAACACTGTGGGGTACAGTTCTATTCTGACACCCAACAGCAAAAGGAAAAAAATTTAAGAAAACTTAGCAGAGGAATAGAGAGGGTAATTAATTTAAAATTACTGCATGGATCAGCTCTGAACAGCATGTAGACAGTTAAAATGGCACATTTGATATTTGTTTTGAATATTGATGCATATCAGGATGATAGGAGCTCTGGTAGCATAGTGCCTAAGGTACTTGAGTGCTAACCAGAAGTCTGACGGTTCAAACCCACCAGCCACTCCTCAGAAGGAAGGTTGGGCAATCTACTTCCATAGTGATACCGCCTCGGAAACCCAAGGAGGGGTCGCTATGAGTCGGGTCCAACTAACAGCACATAGCAACATCAGGATGATGGCAGTATGAGAAGGGTACATGCGTGTATGGTGAGACAGCAGAAGAAATAGAGTTAAATCCTCATCTTCAATAGTGAGAAGTCAATCCCCCAAAAACCAAACCCACAGCCATCAAGTTGATTTCAGCTCATAGTGACCCTATAGAACAGAGTAGAACTGCTCCGTTGGGTTTCCAAAGCTGTAAATCTTCACAGAGGGAGACTACTCCATCTTTCTCCCATGGAGCGGCTGATGGACTTACACCACTGACCTTTTGTTAGCAGTCAGCACTTTTACGACTACACCACCAGGGCTCCTGAGAAGTCAGTGCAAGTGCCTGAAATGAAATCAAGATGTAGCAGTAGAAACAGTGTTACCGAAAAACTATGCAAAGAATTGCAATTGCTTGCCTATGGGCTGCTTGTTACTAGCCTTACAGAATGATTGGAATTTTTAAAGCAATGTGCCCGTACAACTTTGATTAAAAAATAAATAAATAAATAAATAGCTAAAATGAAATATAATACTGTACAGAAAAGAGTTAGCACAGCAAATCTGAGACTGCTTTCCTTAGAAAGGCCCTGGGCTGGTGTCTGGGGACTTGGATTTTGCGAAGATTCCCACCGTTCCCTAACTGACGTGAGTGGCTCACAGTGCCAGAACTGGAAACAATTTGGTTTCTGGTGAACACTTGCTTCCCTTGTGGGAGCTTGGAATTTGGGGATGTGCTGGGCAGAGGTGCCTGCATGACCAGCTACCAGTAAAACTCTGGGCACTGAGTCTCTAAGGAGCTTCCCTGATAATGCAGTATTTCACACTAGTGGTCAGAACTCTTTGTGGAGGAAATAAGCGTGTTCTGTGCGACTCCACAGGGAGTCTGGAAGCTCGTGCCTGGTTTCCCCCAGACTTGGTCCCACGTGCCTTTTCTCCTTGCAGACTTGGCTCTGTCTCCTTTTGCTGTAATGAATCACAGCCATGGGTATGACTCTGTGCTGAGGCCCGGGAGTCCTCCTAGCAAACCATCCAAACTAGGGGTGATGCTTTCCTGTGAGTTGGTCTGATTTTTTCTTTTGTAGCGTGGAGATTGGAGAGAGCGTGAGAGGGGAAGATGTCTATATCATTCAGAGCGGCTGTGGGGAGATCAACGACAACCTGATGGAATTGCTCATCATGATCAATGCCTGCAAAATTGCCTCGGCATCCAGGGTGACAGCCGTGATCCCGTGCTTCCCATATGCCCGCCAAGACAAGAAGGACAAGGTAGGAGAGGTGTGTCCTGTTCTAAGAACCTGCTCGGGGTTTGTCTCTTGACTTTTGTCCTCGCATGTTGCCTCAATTAAATTGACTTTTTCACCTTGTCTTTTCCAAGATTTGTCTTTGAGCCTGGCTTAACGTTAACATTTCTAGAAGTAGAAACAAATGAAGCGTATTCTTGCAGGTATTAGAATGGCAGTGTCGTCCTTGTGATGATGAAAGTGATATATCTCTGTGGTGGTGGATACACAGACCTACACGTGTGCCAGAATTGCACACACACACACACACACACACGCTAGTGAGGACAGATAAAACTACTGAAATCCAAATAAGATCAGTGGGTTGGATCCATGTCATTATCCTGGTAGTGAGCGTGTTCTACAGTTTACAAGTTGTTCCCATTGGGGAAATATAGGCAAAAGGTATAGGAGATCTCTTTCTTATTTCTTACAATAGTATGTGGATCTACAGTTATCTCCAAATAAAAGATTAGTCACAAATATGAGGAGGAAGTGGAATATGTGGCTAACTGCCTCGGAACCCTTTGCCGTGAGGGCAGAAGAACCGAATGGCAAATACTGCCATTACTGAATGTTTTGATCCAAGATTCTGTAGAAGAATCCTGATCAAAACAGGGGAAATGCAGACCAGAATTTCAAATTCTCAGGCTCCAGGCTTTTGGAGCCATGGAAGCTGGATGAATCCCTGAAACTGTTGCTCTGAGATAACCTCGAAACCTTTAACCAAAAATGTCCCCTGTGAAGTGTTCTTAAAACCAAATAGTAGTTGAGCTTCACTAGTAAAAAAAAATAATAATCTGCCTGAAGCACTGTGCTCTTTTAAGAACTGTCTCCATGGGATCAAACTGACAACAGCAACTCGAAAGATTAGATAGAAACCTTAGTGGGCAGTGAGTTTATGTTAATGAGGGAGGAAGAGTTCAGCAAATGAGGATGGGGGTGGTTGCACAGCTTGAAGAATGTCATCAGTGGCCCTGAAGTGTATGTGTAGAAACTGATGAATCCTGTATGCTTTGCTGTAGGTATTCTCAACAACAAAATAAATAAAATTTAAAAAAATACAAAAATAAAATAGTTTAATTTGAAAAATACCATGCTCTCTTTTTGACCTTTCAAGAAGAATGAAGAGATCGTGCTAAATTACTCTGTTAGCTGTGTTAGCATTGTAGGGGAGGGCCTCTGAGTCCCTAGAAGTGGAAGACAATGTGGTTATTGCCCTCGAGATAACCTCGGAGATACCTCTGAGAAGTGGGCGTTCAAGGGGAAGAACTCTGAGTCGTTTTCTCCATTGTATTTCCAATGGGTAGATGTGCAGTCAGGGTCTGTATCAATTCTTCCAGTTTATAAGTGGCACCACTATTCACTGATGTAGTAACTGATTGGGAGAGGTTAAAATTAATTGTAGCTCTTATATAGATCAATGACAAGAAATTTCTCTAGTGCTCCTCAATCCGTCTCCCAAGGTGGTTTTCCGCTAACAGCACACACAGGAGCCCCTTGGATACAAAAACAGCCTTTTCTAAATTTGAATTCATATACCACACCTTTCTCCTGCAGAGCTGCTGGTGGGTTTGAACCACTGACCTTTTGGTTAGCACTTTTAACTACTGTGCCACCAGGGCTCCTTATTTATAAAGTGCTTACTTACCATGAGCTCTGGTAGCGTAGTGCCTCAGGCACTTGACTGCTAACCAGAAGGCTGGTGGTTCAAACCCACCAGCCACTCCTTGGAAGGAAGGTGGGGCAATCTACTTCTGTAGTGATACTGCCTCGGGAACCCAAGGAGGGGTCGCTATGAGTTGGATCCAACTCGACGGCACATAACAACAACAACAATACCATATCATATATCCCTGTGTGCTGCAGATGGTTAATTGAAAGGCTGGAGGTTCAAGACCCCCCCCAGGAGTGCCTCAGAAGAAAGGCCTGGCAGTCTCCTTCCTCAAACTTAGCCATTGAAAACCCTGTGGAGGACAGTTCCATTCTGACCACACGGGGTTGCCATGAGTCACACTTGACTCCATGGCAACATTTTTTTTTTTAAATAAAGTACCTGGTGTATAATACAGGAGTGAGCACACTTGAGAATAGAGCCCCACGTTAAGTATCTCAGGCTTTGTGAGCAGCCACTTGCTCTGCTGTTTCAGTGTGAAAGCTGCCATGGACAATATGTAATGAACGAGCAGGGCTGAGCCCCAATAGGATTTTGTTTGTGGACACTGGAAGTTGAATTTTGTATAATTTTTCACATGTTGCAAAATAGCACTCTTCTTTTGCTTGGTTTTTTAACCACTGAAAAACATAAAAACTGTTCTTGTACACCACGTGCAAACAGGTGGCGGGCTTAGTTTGCAGACCCTGATCCAGCAGACACTCGATAACTAGTTCTCTTCCCTATTGGAAGCAGTACAATGTGGGCAAGGCTGAAAATAATGACTTCTGAAGAGGGTGGAGGACTTGTAGTTGTGGGAATTGTTTTCTTTTTTCAAAATTGTGTTCGATGATAAAATTATTGATGTTTTTTTTTAAAAAAAAAAAAAAAAAAACAAACAAATCAAGCATAGTTGCCCTGATAGGAATTTTACCCTCTGGTCATTTGTTAAAGGGTCAAAACTATGCTTCTAGCAGGTTGGCATTTGACAGATTGAATAAGATCTAGAACATCCTCAATGTCTTTGTCATTTGTCATTGAAAGTACCATGGACTTCCAGAAGAACTAACAAATGTACCCTGAAGGAAGTGCAGCCAATTTGAATGCTCCTTGGAGGTGAGAATGACCAGACTTCATCTCACCTACTTTGGTCATGTTGTCAGAAGGGACCATTCCCTGGAGAAGGATGTCATGCTTGGTAGGGTGCAGGGTCGACGAAAGAGGGGGAGGTCCTCAATGAGATGGATCGACACAGTGGCTGCAACTATAGGCTCAGGTACAGCAAGGATTGTGGGGCTGGCACAAGATCAGGCAGTGTTTCGTTCTGTTGGACATGGGGTTGCTGTGAGTCAGAGTCAACTCAGCGGCACCTAACAACAACAATGTTTTATTTGTGGTTACTGTACTACCTTGACTCTATGTTTTTAAATGCTGTATTTTTTCCGCAAATAATACTCCCACATAAATAGCAAGCACACACACCTGTAGCACATATGTGAGGGAGTTGTGTGGCTTACCAAAAACATCCGTATAACATGCATGTTATTTGTGTAAAAATGTGGCACTTTTGCTCTTGATAGGCTATAAATTATCCTACCTGCAAGATTCAGTTGGGGATCGAGTCAAAGTGTGAAACATAGTGCAAAGCCCAAACAGGGTCGAAAGAAGGAAATCAGGGAGTACAAATTCAGAAATAGCCTATATGCCTTGGATCCCTGATGTGAGAAATGCTTGATGCCACCAAGGAGAGATAAGAGCAGAGGGCTCTGTTTGCGAGTTGTAAATGTAGGCGAAGAGCCCGAAATTGATTAGCATTGTGACTCAAGGTCTGTTAGGATGAAGGCACAGAGACCAGTTTGTTCTTATCCTGGAACTTTGGGAGACTGCAGTGTTCTTTGTGCACCATATCTAAAGCCTGGAAAGCTTGGTATGATTGAGATTGTTACAAAATATACAGAAGGACTGTATCTCGTGCAAGTTATGAGCTGCGTGCTGCAGGTGACACACAAGCCTACAAAAGCAGTGCTTGAGCAACGCAGATGCGGCCATCTTACGTTTTATCATGCTTTGCAAATATTTGCATTTTTACAGATTGAAGGTTTATGGCATTCTTTATTATTATTATTATTATTATTTTATTGTGCTTTGGGTGCAAGTTTATAGAGCAGAGTTTGTTTTACATTCAACATTTCGTGTACATTTAGTTTCACTCCCCATTTGCCATCCCCAACCCTAACCCAGTCTCCTGCCCTCCCTGCCCGGTACCCCCGAGCCCCGCCCCCTCCCCGTACCCTCATAGTGATGCACTCCTATGTGTCCTGCATTTCCTCTGTGCCATTGTTGACCCTCTGGTGCCCCGTGGTCTATTGCTCCAAGGGATGCATTTCCGTAGAGTATGTGGGTGCGTCACCCTGGGTTGAGTGGTCTGCATGTACATCTTGTTTGCTATTGGGCTGGAAGTGAGTTTTATTCCAGGCCCAGGATGTATCCCAGGACCATAGTTTTGGGGGACCCACCACACTCCATCCGACCAGTAATTCTGGTCATTTTTGTATTTTTGGATTTTGTTCCACGTTTTTCCTCCCACTCTGTCTATCTAGGATCTCCAGATTTGATCCTTTCCTGAATGGTTGGCACCAGTAGCCTGGCACTATCTAGTTGTTCTGGTCCCAAGGGCCATCGTGTCCTAGGGCTGATTGCTTCCAAATGTCCTTGTTTTTTGCACTTCTGATGATAGGAGACCATTAGCTGCATCTTCGATGGCCGCTTGAAAGCTTTTAAGACCTCAGTCCCTACGCAGCAATGTAGGTTGTGGAACAAGATTTTTGTGTATTTTGTTGTACCAGTTGTGTCCCATAGTTCTATGGTCCTGAGTCGGTAGATCCATTGGATCTCTCTCCCACAGTGTCTGGATCTCTGTGAGGAATTGCTCTATGTCTGTCTTCTGTTGTTTCTATAAAGATTGGGGGTATTTTGTATCACTGGTGTCTGTGCAAAATTAGCCTCAGCTGAATGTATCCTTGGTCTAGAGTATACTCTTGTTCACTGACCCCCATCTGATCCTCTCAGATGTTTATGTGTTTATCTGTAGCCTGGTGTTTGGTGTTAATGGTAATGCAGTAGTATTGTGTACACAATGGTTGGTATTAGCCTCTGTCGCCTATATCTTTTTTGTTGTT